GAGGGGAAAAAAAGGGGGGAAGGAGGGGAAAAAAAGGGGGGAAGGAGAGGAAAAAAAAGGGGGGAAGGAGAGGAAAAAAAAGGGGGGAAGGGGAAAAAAGCCATTTACCCTTTGGTGTCATTGCATTTCACAGCTCTCAGGTAACGAACAACTTCCCTGTAGCTGGGGAGAGAAAAAAGAGGGTGAGTAGGAAAAGGAAGGCAGTGCAAAGCTACAGACAGGTCAATCAAATATTTACTGTAATTAATGAAGCAAAACAAGAGATCTTCCCACACAAGAGGGTGGAAATACAACTGGAAGCAAGAGACAGCTGGAAATAAATTCCAAGAAGTTATTCACTGATTATTTCTACTCTGGTAAAATCAACCAAGAGGTTGCCTTTCAATTTAATTCTTTAATGGACTGTATTCTTTTGAACACTGCATTCATTTGAACACAGACCTCTGAAGGCCCAGAACACATTTTTTCTGGCTGTTTTCCACCAGTCAGCCTTTGATGAACAGAAATTGCTTTAAAAATCAACATCTAAAAACCGACAGGGTTTATGGAAACACAGAAATCGTCCCCTTCAACATTGTTTTTCTGGTTCTGAGCATTCAAAGGGCTTTGAAAAACTTCAGAAAGCTCCTGGCCTTGTTGATAAGGAATAAGGGGCATGAACAGCTTCAAAGGGGTCTTTGTTTTCTGTCTCCCCATGCTGCTGAACTGCAGAGCTTTGGAAAACACTCCACTGCAGTCAAAACGTTAAGAGTTGAGTTTCCAAAACAAAAACCTCCCACTAATCTTACTTCTTTTTGTCTACCAGCTTCTCCACTCGAGCCTCGATGACAGGGAGTGTTTCCCAGAGGAATATTTTCCTGCCTTTCTGGGTCCTCTGCCCGGTGATGTTCTGGCCTTTCAGGACCGTGGTCAGCAACACATGATCCCAGGGCACCACGTTCAGGCTGGGAGGGCAGAAACAAAGGCATTTCAACTGTGTTTTCAGATTAAATCCCAATTTTTTTGATCTTAAATCCCTTCAAGTATCATGCAGATTTCCTAATAAACCATTTTGGGGGTTTACAGGTGGGAAAAAGAAAATTAAAAGCTGTATGGAGAACAATTTAGAGCATCAAACAACTTTCCCCGTAAGGATGGGACAAATAAAAGCAAGTTAACACCAAAATATTCCTGTAAAATGCTCCCACTTTTACTATCAAGGAAAGAACCAACCCCTAGAGTTGTTTTCAAATCAGGTAGCTGTATAAAATATATCCTGTGGACAAAAAAGGCAAAGAACTTACCTGTTTGAGAAGCCAAAGCAGTGACAGGGAAGGGAGATGGACTGAAAAAAATTAATGAACTTTTCATACAGAGTTTTTGGAAAGTCACACAACACCAGCATTCTCTGAAGTTGGGTTGTGATCCTATGATTTGAGAAGAAAAAAAGTAATATCTTAAAATTAGATTATTTGCTATTAAGATGTGTCTTTTTTTTAATCACAGGGGAAACTGCAGAAGTTTGGGGTTTTTTTTAGTTAAATATCAGACAGTTTGGGTCTATATTTAAATCTCTGCTTTAAGATTTGTAGTGAATAATGATATTAATCTTTTGCTGTTATTTTTAATACCAGTGAAACCAAGGTTTTGTGGTTTTAAGCTTTAAAACAAAGATCTCCTGGGAAAATGTACAAGAAACACTGCAAACTATGCTGGACTTGATAATCCACCTGAGCTCCTGCACCCTCCCTGCTCCTGGAACCATCTCTGGATTGACTGGAGATAACAAAGAAGAGTTTACTCCTTTAAGCTTTGGGGAGGGAGGTAAAAAAATCTCAAGAAATTAAAAACTTCAAGAACAGTAATTTCAAATGCAAACTGCTCAAGGATTTGGGTTATACCTGTCATTAATTTCAGATAAAATGAGAATATGGAATTGGGTTTGAGTGTTCCCGAAAGAAGTCAAGAATTAACTCAATAACCTTCTGTGGCAAGTGAATTTGGGGTGAAAGGGGAAAGCTGAAGCTAAAATGAGAACTGAATTAAGCCAAGGGAGCTGGATGTCCTCATTCCCCAGCCTCTGGGGGAGCTTTACTATGTTACATCCCTGGCTACTCCATCCCAGTGGAATATTCCAAGGCTGCTGTTTTGATCTCTAACAGACACTATTTGCTCTTTGGTTTAACAACCACCACCTGACACCTCCTGCTCTGCCCTTCCAGAACACCCCACCTGCCTCTGCACAGGGGAATTGTCATTGGAAATTTGCATTTTTAAAAGCAAACAGAGAATTCTGTAGCCAGGAAGAAAACAAATCTCACCTTTGGAACAGATATGGGACAGCAATCTTTAGTGAAGTAGTATGGCCAAGGTTCTGCCAGCTTCTAAGAGGGGAGGGAAAAAGCACTGGTTAATGTTTGCCTGTTTTTCCTGCCTTTTCCCCTTCTCTGTGCACCATCCTTTTCCTTAAAAGGCACTGGAAATTGCCATGTTAACAAAAACCACTGCAAACAGGTAAAACAAATGCTCAAAGTGCAAACCATGTTGCAGAACTTACAGTGCTTTACAGCAGTGCCTAATCCCAGGAAGTGCATAAAGAAAGACCTTCCCAAAGGATGCATCCAGCCTGCTCCTGGCAAACCTGGACAGCTCCTCAGAGGGAACTGCAGAGGAGCTGCTGTTTCTGGCCTGTCAAACCAACCCAGACCCCACTTACTTCTCCTTTGTGAAAACCCTTGAATTTAAGCCCTAAAATATTGAAGTTTTGCAAAGCAAAGCTCTGCACTGCTCGTGCTCAGTGAGGAAGAATGGAACAGCCATGACACAGACAATAAAACTGCTCAGGCAGCAAAGACTGAAGGGTTTAAATTCTGATTTAATATATTTATTGTGCAGCCCCCCAGCTGACAGTTCAGCCTGGGAAGCATCTAAAACCTATCACCCAAGGAACATCCCATGCTCCCTTCCTTCCAGGCCAGAGGTTTCTTCACTCAATGCAGCTTCTCAGGAAAGATTCCATGTCCCTGTACTTTCTCCAGGGGAATTAACCCCACCTGCCTCCATCTGTTGTCTGTCATCCTCCCTCCTCCCAGTTCCCTTCTCAAATTCCTTCCCCTTGCTGGAGATCATCTCCTTTCCTCAGGACTTAATCCCACTTAACTTCTTCCCTTCAAGCTTTAACCTCTTTTCCCCCAAATCCCTGCTGTAACCAATCCCACTTCTCCCTCAGGTGGGTTCATCTTCCTCTTGTGCTGCAGCCTGGGCTGGGATTCTGACACTTCCTTACCCTTCATAAATGGAACCCTGGAATTCCCTCCCCAATTCCCCTCCCCTGGAGAAGCAAAGGTCCCACCTGGATGTGGCCCTGGGTACTTACAGGGTAGGGTCTTTGTGCATTGCAATCTCTTTGGCTGCTCCCAGCAGCATCACAGCAGCAGCTTTAGGACTTTCTTGTTCTGCCTGATTTAAAAATCTTGTTACCAGGGCAAAAACGTCAGAATACCTGAGAAAGTTAAGGGGTCTATAAGAGAAAGGGTCTGCAACCATGAACTTCACAAACAAATGGTAATTGTGACCATTCTACAGTTTGAGAACAAGCTGCCTTGCCTTGAAAGGATTTATGACATGATGAAAAGGTGCTTGCACAACCATTAATTTCAGTATTTTTTAAATACTTGGCTTGTTACATCCATTAAAAGGTGAAACCCACCCTAAAAACCAAATTAGTAAAAAAATCACAGAATCCTGGAATGGTTTGGGTTGAAAGGGACCTTAAAAACCATCCAGTGCCACCCCCTGTCAAGGGCAGGGACACCTTCCACCAGCCCAGGTTGCTCCAACCTGGCCTTGGACACTTCCAGGGATGGGGCAGCCACAGCTTCCCTGGGCAACCTGTGCCAGGGCCTCCCCACCCTCTCAGTCAGGAATTCCTTCCCAATATCCCATCTAACCCTATCCTAAAATACAGGCCTCATTTTCATGCTTTCCCAGGTTATAACGAGACATTATCAGGTATCTTGTATGGCACAACAGATGTATTTAAAGATGTATTTAAGAGGGTGTTTAAACTCCATTCAAGTGTAATTTAACTTGCTGGCCCTCTCAACTCCATTTCTGCTGCATCAGGTGCCACAATTCTGTCACTTGACTAAAGGAACTCAAACCTGCATTGCCCAAACAGTCTCTGCTGTCACTTACTTGTACACAAGCTCCATGTTCCGTGACCTGCAGGCATTGCACTGCCCAGGGGGCAATTTTGGCAAGCAAAAGCATTCATGTTGTGTGGGAGGCGTCCTTTCTCCAGTCAGGTACTTATTATATTCCACATAAAGTTCCTGCATAAATTTGATTAGAAGACTTCCTAAGAGACAAGACAAAAAGAAAACAAGAAAAAAGTTGCACTGAGAGTTTTGCATCTCTTTTTTCAAGTCAAAAGAAAGACAACCACAAGTTCACTGTGTAAAGATTTAGCCAGTTGCTTGCACCCAGTTTTATTTGGTGAAAGTCTGCTCCTTCTTCAAACTGAAAGAAGGGAAATTTAGGTTGGATATTGGGCAGAAGGATGGTGAGGCCCTGGCTCAGAGTGCCCAGAGAAGCTCCACCTTCCAGCCTGAAGTTAATTATTGCCTGTATCCCACTTGATTTTGAGGTGGCCAGAGGCAAGAACACAGCAGTCTGTGCTGTGAGGGATGGGAAAGGTATTATTTTTGTGCTGAACAGGATCAGAAGGATCTGTTTGTGTTTCCAGGTGTGTTTTGAGACATTTCTGGTACTTCCCTGTGAGGGAGGGGAGGCCCTGGCACAGGTTGCCCAGAGAAGCTGGGGCTATTCCATCCCTGGAAGTGTCCAAGGCCAGGTTGGACAGGGCTTGGAGCAACCTGGGCTAGTGGAAGGTGTCCCTGCCCATGGCAGGGGGTGGGAATGAGATGGGCTTTAAGGTCCCTTCCAACCCAAACCACTCTGTGACTCTTCCAGAGGGAGGCAAACACGAAGCTGGACCCGCGGACCGGAGTCTGGTGCAAGTCTGACCCAGATAAAGAGCAGCAACAGCAATCTGCCACCCCAAAAATCCACTGAGCCCTGCCAGGCAGAGCTGTGGCCCAGCCAAGCTGCTGCCCAGGCTGCCAGGGTGCTGTGGGAGCAGAGCACCCACCCCCGTGGCGCAGCTCGGCGTCGATGTCCGTCAGCTCCAGGTTGAACATGACCAGGACCCCGGCCAGGGCAAAGTCCCGCTGCTCCTTCCAGAACCTGCTCTTGTTGTGGGCATTGCAGTGGCACAGGGAGGGGGTTGTCCAGTTCTGGCACTGTTGTAGAAAACAGGAAAGACAGGGAAAGGTTTTTTTTTTTTTTTGTGTAATTTTCCCCCCCCCCCTTCCAGTTGAGCAACTCAAAAAAACCCCCCGGTTTCTCTGAGTGAAGGGCTACAAATCATTTCACCCTTTACACACCTGAGCAAAGGCACAGGGAGGTACTCAACGTGACAGTAACTCAGTATCATGGCAAACAAGAACAAAAAACACCCCCTCATATTATTTACTGTCACTCCTGAACATTTCACAGAGGCCCTCAGGGCTGGCACCCTCCCCACTGGAATTTGGGAACAGAGCCTTGTCTTTGCATGTTCACCCCAAGTTTGTTCACAGCTCAGTTTTCTGAACTCTAACAAATTCTAAGAAACCCCCAAACTGATGGCAAAAAGGCACAAAAAAAGCTAACAAATGTTTCAGCTGGTATACCTTGTCCTGTTTGCTCTACCTGTTTTGCTAGAAGAACATTTTAGGAGCACTGGTTAATGTTATGTTCTGTTCTGCTTACTGGACCAAAGGCCTTATTACAGAAAGAATAGGAGTAGTACACACAAGGTAATAAATTAGGTAAACTGGACATTTGAATGAGGTATAGAAGGTCCAGAGCCATGATTTTGCAAGCTTGAAGAATTCAGGTCACCTAACAAAGAACTCCCAACTCCTCCACTCCAAGTTAGGACAGTCTAAAAGTCTGACATCTCTCTAGTTCACTGAGAAACAGTCTGATTCAGGAATTTGATTTTATGAAATGCACTGTTTGCCCAAAGCAAACAGGAGGTAAATTTGCTTCTACCTATTAAATGTTTACTCCAGCAACTATTAGAAAGAAAGCCTGACAGAACCACACTTTTAGCAGCTATGAAGCAGACAGGGATCAACCCTGAGGAGAGGAACTGTTAAAACAATCAAGTTTCATGTATCACTTATTGGTTTTGTGCCCTTCAACTCTTCCCTGGGAGGGTGGGGAGGCCTTGGCACAGGTTGCCCAGAGAAGCTGTGGCTGCCCCATCCCTGGAAGTGTCCCAGGCCAGGTTGGACAGGGCTTGGAGCAACCTGGGCTACTGGAAGGTGTCCCTGCCTGTGGCAGGGGGTGGCACTGGATGGACTTTAAGGTCCCTTTCAACCCAAACCATTCCAGGATTCTTTTTATTGATGGTTACTCTATTTACTCCCAGTTGTCCTCTCACCTCAGAAGCCAGTTTGTCACAGATGTAGCAGTAGCACTGGTCACAGATCTCAGCGTTTTTGCCCAGGGGTGAGCAAGTGTCACATTCTGTTCTCCTACAAGGGAAGGTTGTTCAGGAAACAAGTTACATCCTTATCCAGCTCCACTTCTGCTTCCAGCTCTTACAAAGCTCATGAGGTTTCGTGACTAAAAGGACTAAATGTGGACAGTGAACCCCCAAATCACCCTCCCCAGCCCTGACCATACTCGAAGGGGTGTGTGGTGCAGTCGTATCTCGCGTGAGGCATCACATTGGCTTGTTTACAGAAAGTCACCATTAATTCACATTCCTCATCCACAACCTCAGGTTTCTCCTCTCCCAGGGCAGATTTCTCTGTAGGGAAGAGCACAGGAAGAGTAAATCAGTGTAAATCAGGGAACTACAAACTTCCTTGCAAATTACTGACGTTTTCTTTTTAAATGTTTCCAGGCCCAAATTTTCTCTTGATTTCATTTGGTGCCACGAAGAATGGTACAAAAAACTTCCATCAACTATCAGAACAGAGGATGTGGAATCAAAAAGGAGCCAACTGACATTGAAAAGGCTCAGTTTTAGCTCAGTTGGTAATATTTTGAAACTACACAGCACCATCTTTCATGTTAAGAAGTTCCACCAAAGAAATCCCTAAAAATTACTAAATCACAGCATTTCTTCCAGGTTTAATTAACTTTTGAAGCACTTTGATTTTCCAGCAGCAGAAAGACAGATTTCAGGCACATCAGACAATAATTTAATTCAGTTTATTCCAAAAGTCTTTTAGGGAACTTCATCAGAAGCAGCTCTTACCCTGGGGGTCTACAAACAGGACAGAATTCCCAAGAGTGTCCTCGGCTTCATCATCACTGATCAGGATTATGCTCTGCACTTCCTCCTCTCCTGATGGCCCCATGGCTCCTGAAATCCAAAGGGAAGGAACTACCTGGCAACAGACAAAACACAGAGACAGTTACCAGTTTCAAGGTCCTTTCCTCAACAAGGCAAGAAAAAGACCCCTCAAGAACCCAAATTCTTCATCTCTGTTGTGTAAGTTACACCAGGGACTGAAGTGTTTGATCCTCAGCAGCTCAAAAAACACTGGAATTCCATCCAGTGCTGAGAGAACGCTAAAAACATGGAGATAGGGGTAAAAGAAAGAAAACAGACCCCAAATGTGAGCGGTGCTGTTCTTCAGGTGGGTTTAGAGGGACTGGCTTTGGAAGAACTGTAATAACAAGGGGGAATGGCTTCCCACTGCCAGAAGGCAGGGTCAGATGGGATACTGGGAAGGAATTTTTGGCTGAGAGAGAGGGGAGGCCCTGGCACAGGTTGCCCAGAGAAGCTGTGGCTGCCCCTGGATCCCTGCAAGTGTCCAAGGCCAGGTTGGACAGGGCTTGGAGCAACCTGGGCTGGTGGAAGGTGTCCCCGCCCATGGCAGGGGGTGGGACTGGGTGGGCTTTAAGTTCCCTTCCCGCCCAAACCATTCCAGGATTCCATCCTGACCATGACTCCCCCAGCCTCCCCTCAGCCCTCGCACAAGCCCCCCCAGCCCCCTCCCCGCTCTCGTGGCCCCCAAACCCCCCCGACTTCCCTTCTCCTCACCCCGAGCCCCGCACAGACCTCCCCCAACCGCCTCCTCCCAACGGCCACAACCCCCCCGCGCTGCGACCAACCCCCTAAACCCGCTCCCGCTCCCCTCGCAGCCCCCTCCCGCCGTGCCCAGCCCCGCAGTTCCCCTTTTCCTCCCCCAACCTCTCCGTTTTCCCCCCGTTTTCCCCCCGTTTCCCCCTCACCGTCCGGCCCCAACCCCGAGCCCGCCACTCTTTGAAGGCCCGAGCACTTCCGGGGCGGTGGCGACGCCTGCGCGTCACTTCCGCCCTCACCAAAGATGGCGGGGCGGGGCCGCCGCCATCTTTGCTGAGGGAAATTCTTTTTTGTGGGGGTTTAAATAAACCTCTTTAAATAACCCGTTTAAATAAACTGTTTAAATAAATCCCTCGCCCTACGCGTCTGTGCAGCGCCCTGCGGGGCTTCTTGGTGCGTGAGGCGCCGCCAGAGGGCAGGAGGGAGGTGGTGAAGCGTCTCGCGCGCCCTGTTCGGGGGCATCATGGTGGCCCCGGCCCCTCAGGTGACACCTGCGCACACCCACACACCTGTGTGGGCCCAGGCGCCTCCCCAGAGGTCAGAGAGTTGCTTCTCTTCCAGTCCTGCTGTATCTGCTCACCCCAAGCCACAGCTGATGGTGGAGGACACGCTGTCACTGCGTATTGTCGCTCCTAATCGCCACCTCCTGTCGCGACAGGCGACCCCTCCTGTCGCGACAGGTGACCTCTCCTGCGAGCCCAGCTCGACATCAGCGAGGAAAAGCCACATCTAGGAGCCGAGGCTTCACCAGTAACACTAGATGGTACCAGAGCTCCACACAGGACTCCAAAAAACCTTGGAATTCTGAACCCGGGAAAGCTGGAGATGTGAAGCCGCATCTCTTGGTGTGCTGCTGGCCCAGGGAACGGCGTTCGCGCGGGGAAAAAGCCTCCAGGGGAGTTGGGAATAAAATAAGGCCATTTTTTTCTGGTGTTCAGGGCGACAAGTGCAATGTGTTTGTGGTTAAAAGTGATCAGCAGAGCGATGGTGTTGCAGCACTGGGAGGGAAAGTTTGAACGGAGACTCTCAGGGAGTTTTTCAGTAATAATAATTAGGTAAGGAAAATCTGGGAAGGATTTTAACTTGATCAGAAACTGCACATGGCAGGTTGGAACTGGATGAGCTTCAAGGTCTCTTCCAACGCAAACCATTCCACGATTCTATTCCATGATTAAATCTTAAAAAGAAGGTATCCTGGTATCTTTAATCCTTGATATCTTTAGTGTTAGGAACTATTCAAACAGCACTCAGAATATGATCACCTTTTTCTGGAAGCGCCTGCACGCATTGCCTGAAATATTCATGCTTGAAAAAACCCACCCTCTTCCTGCAAATGAATATTTATTCCATGAATAAACTTTAATGTCTTCATGGCTTTCAACACATTTGGGCAAAATGTTTCAAGTTTCTGTGCTTACAATGACAAAACCTGAACCTGACACCTAAATAGGTGGCCTGATTTCAGCTGTGTGGGGCATTTTGGGGAGACAGAATTTCCTCCCTGTAGCTCCCTCCGTAGCATGGCAGCGTTTTAGAAACCTTGGGGAACTCAGTGCAGCAATTTAGGGGGTGAAATGAAGTCTGGAGATAACAGGGGAAAATAATAAAAGGCAGAGCTGGCGCTGGGCCAGAATAATTTTCTCTAAAGCTCCGCTCTCCTGCAGAATTCCTGGTTTCCTGCCCATGGCAGGGGGTTGGAGCTGGATGAGCTTTAAGGTCCCTCCCAACCCAAACCAGTCTGTGATTCCATAATTCTGTGAAGTCCTGTGACATGATCTGATGGCTAAATATGGTCAGGACTTGAGTGCTGAGCCTCATCCAAGACGCAGCAACACCGGTGGTTCCTCTTCCCAGATGAAGAGTTGGTGTCGGCGTCTTATTTTTAGTGGTGTGGGTGTAAAATATGTTGGTTGAATTCCACGTCGCCTGAGCTCGGTCTGCTCTGCCATGGTGGGGTTTGTGCCCAGACACAGCCAAGCTCAAGGCCCCAGACTGACATCATGGAATCATAGAATCATGGAATGGTTTGGGTTGGGAGGGATCTTAAAGCTCACCTCAATGCCACCCCCTGCCATGGGCAGGGACACCTCCCACTAGCCCAGGTTGCTCCAAGCCCCATCCAACCTGGCCTTGGACACATCCAGGGATGGGGCAGCCCCAGCCTCTCTGGGCAACCTGTGCCAGGGCCTCCCCACCCTCCCAGGGAAGGACCAGAAACATCTCAAAACATACCTGGAAAGGCAAAAAAATCCTTCTGCTCCTGTTTCAGCAGGAGAACAACACCTTTCCCATCCCCTCAGCACAAACTGCCGTGTTCTTGCCTCTGGCCACCTCAAAATCAAGTGGAATATAGACAATAATTAGCTGCAGGCTGGAAGGTGGAACATCAAGGAGGGAATACACAATTCCAGGTGTCATTAAAGCTTCAGACCGTTTTCCACAGGGCCCTGCCCTGCTCTTGGTTTATTTTACAGGTAATTCCCACAACTGTGCTTCCAGGAACACTCAGGACCAGGCTGGGGCATTAACTGGAGGCACAGAAGACTTCTGCTCCCTGGGAATGATCAGATGAGGGGCAGAGGAGTGGATTTCTCCCCACCTGCTCCTGAGCTCGAAGGGAATTTCCCTCCAACCGCAACAGCGAACAGACCATTAAAATGTCTGTTCCAAACGCTTTCCATGTCCCATTTATATTTACTGCTGCTTCATCCTGCTGGAAGGCAAAGGCCTGTTTGTACCTGCTGAAAGGTTTGGGATGGATCAGTTGACTGGAAAAGGCTCTGAGGATTGAAACCTGCAGTCCCACACGGACATGGGCTAATCCATCAGCTGAGCCCAGCCGAGGTGCCAGAGCTGACTCCTGTCATGGCTCTTGGGCATGTTTGGCCCCAAAAACGATGTTCAGAGCTGCAAATGTAAAAGAGATTCGTATAACTGAGCTTTTGGAAAAGGGTTGTGGTGTTTCCTTGCTTCCCTCAGCATCTCAGCAGATTCGTTGCCTCCGTTCATGGACAGGCTTTCCATGGGGAGGTGAGGGCAGGTTCCCCCTTTTTCACCTTTGAAGAGCCCCTCGGTGCATTGCAATGGGCTTTGTGGAACCAGGTCTGCTCAGGTTTCAGAAGGAAACAGGACTTAGGTGATTATAACGTGCCTGTGAGGGAATGACGGGCCCTGTTTGTACCTGGTGTTGCTGAGATGGGAGGAAATCAGCCTTGCTGTCCAAAAAAAGCTGGATTGAGGAGGAGGGGTTGAGACAAAAACTCACCTCCCTGTGCAGGAGCAAAATGGTAGCAGAGCAGGGAAAATGGGTTAAGCTCAGGGCCTGCATTAGTGGTTTATTCCATCTAAATTAGCAACAGGGTTTTCCTTGAACCCTGATTTTGTGAGGCAATATTCTGTGGTAATATCCCATGGGTGGGGGAATGTTCCCCTCACAGCCCTGTCCCCATGGAATTACTGAATTCTGGTGCCAAGTTCAACCAGTGGACAACAGGTAAAAATCCTAAAGTTAACACATCCCTATAAAGGTTGTGATAAAAGATTTGTGTTTGTGTGAGAGAGAAACCACAACCAGAAAGCTTCAAATCCAGGAAGAAAAGGGACAAAAATTCCCAAACCATGGAAAAGTCTTGGTAGCATTCATACCTATGAGATACTAGAAAGTCCACACAGCAGAAAACACCCAAAAAGGAGACTCTGGGTGGCTGACCAGGCAAGAATTGCTCTGGGTGAGGTATTAGTCATGTCTTTTTTCCCCCCACTTTTCTGGTGTATAAAAAGGGGTGAAATCCTGCCATAGCCACAGGTTAGTTTGGTTTAAAGGTCCATCAGCCCTGAGGCACAAATCCATTGGAAACCAGGCTCCATCATTCCAGCACTAACAGGACTGAGGTGGTTCCTTTACTCTTTTCCTTTGTAATTTCTTCCCTTCCTCAAGACCACATAAAGCAGAATCAGGATGCTGTGAGAAAGATGGTTCTCAGGGTAGTTCAGGCCCTCTAAAAAGCTCTTTTTTTTTTGGTTTTTCAGGGGGACAAGAGCCAGGCCAGGGCAGCAGCACCCCGAGGAGCCACCAGTGCTGATTCCCTGTGGGCTGTGGGGAGCAGTGGAGATGCTCCTACCCCGGCACAGCAGCAACCAAGGGCTCTGGATTTAGGAACCAGACGAGTATGAACCACATTGGAATTCCTTCAAAAATCTGCTATCACTCCCCTCCCCACAGAAGGCTGAATAAATCCCCTCCGTATTTCAGGCTCTGAGCGTGGCCCTGAAATATTATCAGTGCTCTTTGACACTCTACCTGCCCCTCATCCCACCTGGCTCCCCACAGAGCGCATTTCCGCTGCTTTCAGGGGGAAAAAAAAATCAGATTCCTTCAAAGCCTGACACTCCTCGAGCACGAGGGTGATCAAGTCTCCTCCATTGTATATTCACTATTTTAACAGGGTTTTCTTTCAGCCCTTTAATGAGTTTTTATTCCCTTTTGTGTATCAGACGCTTCACTCCGACCGACCGACCGACAGTTTTACTCATCCCGTGTGGAGTAATATGAACAGGCAGGACAACCTTTTATTCCTGTGGCAAGGTTTGCTCTGCCAACATTCTTCTCCTCCTGCAGTTGGGGGGATGTGTTTTGACCCTTTCCTCACCCACCTTCCAGCCTCGGAGTGAGGACGTTCCCTCTGGAGCCGAGGCAGGAACAACCCGGCCGTGCTGCCCCTGCTCTCAGATCTCACAGCCCTGCATCGAGGAAAGGGGAAGGAAAACAATCAAAAGAAAAGCAAATGTGGGGTTTGGTTCGTCTGAACAGCCAAGTTTTGTTACTTCAGCCTCAGCCCAGGCTTGGAGGACATTCTGTTACAGTTTGCAGGGGGTGGGTCAGGCTGGGATTGTCCTCACACCTCTGGGGAGCTGCATTTATAGAATCATGGAATCACATGGGTTGGAAGGGACCTTAAAACTCATCCAGTGCCACCCCCTGCCATGGGCAGGGACACCTTCCACCAGCCCAGGTTGCTGCAAGCCCTGTCCAGTGTGGCCTTGGACACTTGCAGGGATGGGGCAGCCACAGCTTCTCAGGGCAACCTGTGCCAGGGCCTCCCCACCCTCCCAGGGAAGGGTTTTGAGCCCAATATCCCATCCAAACCTCCTCTCTGTCAGTTTGAGCCCATTCCCCCTTATCCTGTCACTAGATATGTTACTTCCAACACATCCCAAGCCAAGCATGGAGAGAGAGCAAATCTCACCCTGGATGCAGGAGGTGCCCAACCTCGTGGTGATGCTGCCAGGCTGGTGGGAAAAATCCATGCCTGAACTGCTGGGGGACAAGGCCATTCCCACCAATCCTGGCCTGAGCAGAAGGTGCCCAGATCCCATTTTTTAGCCACAGAGATGGCAGCAGTCACTGACCCCACAGAGGAGGGTTGTTGCAGGACAGCTGGCTGGAATTCCAAAGGATTACACCCCCCAGGCTGGGGGCTGCACAAATGAATAGGTGCCAGTCCTGCCCCCCAAATCCTGCTGGACAAAAGGACACAGTGGTTGATATTGGATGGGTGACGTGGGAAGGAGAAGGAAAAAGGCAGAGCCAGCCAAGGAATTGAGAACCCCCATGGGCAGACAGCACCTGCTCCCAGTGATCTCAGGCTATTGGAGTTCTCCAGCACAGAGATTCATGGAAAAATTCACCAGAAAGGTGAATTCTGGGGTAAAAAAGACCGATGTGCAAACCTCTGAACCCTTTTTTTTTTTTTTTTGGATGTTTTTTACCTGCTTTTGGGAACAGGGAACTCTGCAGGCTCCTCCTGTCTGCAGGCAGAGCAGTTTCAGGCCTGTCTTGTCCTTAATTACTCAGATCCAACAGAGTCCTATGATTGGAAATCATCTGCCATGAAAGGTCACACATTCCACGGGGTCTTGTTTTTTTGATGTTGCACGAGGCTGGGGCTCATCTGCTGAGAATTAGGAGGTTATTATTCTGCGGAAGCTGATCCAAATTGCCTCTTATCCATAGGCAGAGAATTAAAGGAATATTTAAACCCATTCCACAGATTACAAACTTGGTGGCATAGCTCTGCAACCAGTAGTATTAGAACCATGCACTTGATAGTTGCCAATAATTCAAGTCAACTCTTTAACATCTGGCATTACTATATAATGTCTGGCTGAAGCTGTAACCTTTCCCCCCCCCTTGCTTTTAGAAAAAGCCTTTTCTGCTTTGAGAGAATTTTGATTACTAAAGCCCTTCCCAGGACAGATTTATCCTGTGATTTAATATTTTGTGATGGAGTCTCCTTTTGAATCAGTTGAATAATTGGCAGTGACTTTGGTATTAAACTGATTCATGATGTACATCCAGGCCCTTTAATAATTTAACATTATTGTCTTTATAATCGAAGCCCCTTTTTTGACCATTAAAAACTATTGGAAACAGTCTGGTGATCTGCTTGGATTAAAAATAAAGTGCAGAGGATTGGGAATGATTAGGGATGGTCAACCTTACCTTGGGGTCAGGCTGAGAGGCAATTTGTGGCTCTCTGCAGCTCCAAGATGGGCTGAGGTGTCCAAAGTTTGAACCTGGTCTGGTGGAAGGTGTCCCTGCCCATGGAATGGGATGATCTTTAAAATCCTTTCCAACCCAACCCATTCCATGATTCTCTGATGAAATAGGTTCACTCTGCTTTTTGGAAAGCTCCTAACTGTGATCACTAAATCTGGGCAAGAAACCTGGAGAGGAGGGGAGAAGAGAGGAGATCAACTACTCTCATCACTGCAGAGGATCTTTGGGGGAAAAATAAATGTAAATGGGCCAAGTCTTGTCTCTTTGAAATCCCCCAGTGAGCTGATCCTGGTGGGAGCCATCCCAGGAGTGCTGCTGCCACCCAGGAGAGGAAGGCTGGGCCCTGCAGAGCCCCGGCACATGGAATTAAAAGCTATCCTTTCACACTCCACTCTTCCCGGCCCTTGGCAGGGCTCTGATCTAACAGGTTTTGCATAGCTGCTAGACATCTTCCTAATAGTATCCCCTGGGAATTCTAAATTTCACTCACAGCCTCTAAATTTTCATTAAGAGCAGTCACACACGGAGAATGATGGATTAGATTTTATTGTTGGAAAATCTCCAGATAAAATTAAAGTGCTTCTTTCTTTTCTGAAACCTTTACCTTTCCCCTGTGGTGCCCTATAAATAAGGTATCAAATAATGTTTATCCTTTTGAATTCTGCAATCTTACATGTTTCATGCTTACTCCTGACCACTTTCCTGCCTCTGAAGAGATGTCACTCTTCAGTTAAATCCGGGGAACAGACACTCTACCTCGTGAATTTTATTCCAAAGCAGCCTGACTGTGTCCCAGCAGCTTTTAGGAGCCTTCACTTAAGCCCAGGTACATATTTATAAATACAGTGTTGTCTCCTTCCCTTTCCTGGAAGTCTTGCTTTCATTTCCTTCCTCCTTCCACCGAATTCCCCGTGTCCCTTCTTTTATCCCTACTTCTCCATCCTCTCTGTGTACATCTAATCTGTCCAGCTTGCAGACAGATGAGACACCACTCTGGGATCATGGGGCCCAGGGCTGAGGCACTTTCCAACCCCTGATAAGTGGTATCCGCTCCCACTGCCCCTGGCCAGCAGATTTTTATAGCAGATGTTGTTTCTTCCACAGTGAAAACAAAAAAAAACCCCAAAAAACCAAAAAAACCCCAACCTATTATTTTAAGACTTTTGGGTCTTAAACAGTTTTAGATGCTTTTAGTCTTCACTTGAAAAAGCAAGAGCCCTGCAGGCAGTTGGTAGGAAGTGCTGGAGAGAGGGTAATGCTGGCATGATTCATACTGGTGTCAGCTCGTTTAAATGAAATTCCACGGGGATTTATCCAGCAAAGGCTCTGAACAAGTTTTAGACAGCATCTCCCACCCCCACAGCTCTCACTTCACAGCATCTTAAATTAATACAAAGCACAAAGGCCAGGGCTGTACCAAGACAAAAGGTTGGCCGAGACTGGGGATCCTTCTGGCTCCCCAGTGGAGGGAAGGGTCCCTGATTCCTGCAAGCAGGACAAGGAATCCAAGGAGAGAGGAAAGCAGTTTTTCTGCTGATTTTACACATCATTGTTGACGGGGGTTCCCATGTCTTGAACTGGAGTTGGGGTCCCAGCCCTGGGGGTTTTGTGACTTACCAGAGCTGACCCCAAATGATGTCCCTTGTCCTGGGCAGGGCACAGCCAGCAGGGATTCCCCCATGCCAGGAGGTTGCTCCTGGAGCTCATGCAAACCTGCAGGGTCACAGAATCCCAGAATAATAGGATAGTGCATTCCCAGGCTGGCCAGAGCCTCTGAGCAGGGTCAAATCTCCCTTTCCAGCCCCCCAGGACCTCTCCTGCTGCTGTTTCCCCATGGCACAGGCTGTTCTGCTGCCCTGATGGCTCATTCCCACCACTTCAGTACATTTTCCTCCTGATTTACCCTACTTGGATAGGGAGATAATCCTACTCCCTAATACCACCACAGAGCCAAGCCAGATCCCTGTCTCAAAGTTCCTCCAACCCACAGAGACCATCCAGAGCTCAGCTTCCCTGATATCTTTCCTCTCTGCATAAAGAAGGTGAAAGGATTTCCAAGAGGAACAACTTGCCCTTCTTCTTCTTACAATGCCTCTCCCCAGGAACGTGCAAGGGAATTATCAGCACAGGCGATTTCAGTTGTCAAACTCATTAAAATCTTAACAATTTGACTAATTTGCAACAGCTGGGCACCAGACCCTTGATTTCCCCCCCCAGTTTGGATTATCCACCACTGACCTAAGGGCTGGTTCCCAGAGCAAGGAGCCCAGGCTGAGCCCTTCAGCCCCCGTGGCCGTTGTCTCTGTATTTTCCTGTGTAAAAAAGAATTCTCAGAACCCTTTTTTTGCACCAGTGGAAAAATCCTCCACAAACAGAGCAGGACCCAGGTCTCATCCTCTGCTGCATTTTAATGCCCTCCCAAAGGAAGCAGCACAAGGAAGGAAAACTCCCTGAATTCCCTGGTGGTTTTCTGGCTTCGTCTGTGCCACATTTTGCTGTGGCTTCCTGGTGATGAGGCCTCTGAGAGGCAGAGGTGAGCCCAGAAGGAGGGAAAGCTGGAGGGAGAGAGGAACCCTGGAAATTTGGGAGCAGTGAGGAGGGAGAGGTGCCAGAGGTGAGCGAAATCTGCTCTGAAACTAGCATGAGCACAGCCTTTACCCTCCCTGAGCAGGAGTCACGACGGCCGTGCTGGGACGGGCGCCAGGGTTGTTGTTGGGCAAGGCTTGTGCAAGCTCCAAGCAGAGTCTCAGAGAAAGGGAAACGAGGGGGAGAGATGGAGGTTTCTTTTTAACAGGGATGTTGGAAACATGTGGGAGTTACGAGGGAAGAGTTGGAGCACCTACTCCAAGGGTGAACACCTCTGGACTGGGCAGACTGGGAATTGCAGGATCACAGCGTTGGATCACTGAGTCCAACTCCTGGCCTTGCACAGGACCATCCCAAGGGTCACATCATGGGCCCCAGAGTACTGTCCAAATGCTTCTTGAACTCTGGCAGGCTTGGTGCTGTGGCCATGGACCAAACTCAACTGTCCCCCAGTAGCTCCTGAGCTGTTGTGACAAATCCAGGGAACAGCTAAATCAGGCTCCCCCCCAGACCTGTCCCCACGTCCCACTGCACTCACTGGGTGCAGGATCACAAGGCCACAGTCCTAAATTGCAAATACAGTTCAGTGGAGCAGAGGAGGCTTCCTAAAAGGCCAATCCCCACATCCCTGCTGTGGGAGAGCAAGGGGCACAGGGAAGCACAGGACCTTTGACTCTCTTTTCATTTGGGAGGGAAGTGTTGATGTTTTAAATGCTGTGAAGGGGGGATAGTTGGCAGTGCCTTGGATTTGTGAAGTCACTGAAAAGGAAAAAAAACCCCTTTTTTGATGCCAGTGGTAACAACTCAGTATTGGGTTAGAAGTGACTCAACCGAGGACGCCGCGATGGCAGGACATGGAGCTGGGCACAGTTCCCACAGCCAGCACGCTCCAGAGGGTGTTTTGCAAGGATCAGCTGGACACCATCCTATCCTTGTGCTGCTGGTGAAGTCATTGTGGCTTTGCACCCCCTCCTTTGTCCCCGTCCCAGGAGGATGGGACAGAACAGCTGGAGATCTGCTCATCAGACAAAACATTCCCGCCTGCTGCCTCTCCGGCCTTGGAGGATCTGCTGCATCTCAGGCCTTGGAGGACAGGTTTGCTCTGCCTGGGCTGAGCTCTTTACCTCCTGCCTCGTGCCAAGTGCACACAGAGCTGAGCAGAGGAGCTGAGTCAGAGCAGTTTCTCCCTGGAGGATTTAGCTCATGGATGAACATGTGTGAGAAGGTTCTTCTGGTGTAGGAACACCAGATGTGTGCCGAGAAGGGGGGATGGCTTAGGGTAAGAAGGAAGCACTTTCTTTTTACCATCTGGTTGTCCCTGGTGTTTTCCATCTATCAGGCACATCACCTCTGAAAAAGAGGTGCTTCTCCCAGGAAATCATTACTGGAACCCTCATGGACACCTCTGCACCCACACGGCCCTGCATGTCAAACTGCCCCATGCACAGCCTCAGTTACTCTGGAACCACCCCGTGCTTATGGAAGGAGACCCAAATCCAACAGTTTTGGGGGCTGTGTCCGCTGATCCTACAGCTGGGCCCTCAGGATGGCAGCTGAGCACGGTGGAGATTCACTGACATCAATAAACTGTCTCCACTGTTGACTCCGTCATTGCAGTGCTGGATCCAACAGCCCCAGGGACCCTGTGGGCCCCATCCATCATCAGCTTGGGCCCATCCACTCACTACCATGGCCAGGAGACACTGGGAAAACACCATCATCCACTGGGAGGTGCTCGGAGCTGCAGGGGCCTGCTGGTCCCTTCTGAGAGCAGGACGGGCAGCAAAACTTCCGAGAAGTTCAAACCTTGGGGATTATGGAGGGACCTATAGTTTTGACAAAACACCCTGATTTTCTCTTTCTCTGGCAAACTCTGATCTCGGGCACACTCAGATAAACCTCAAGACGTTGCACTGAAAGAAACAGGCTCAGAGGGCACGTGTGGCCTTATCTCCTCCACACATTCTGTGGAATAAATCTGTTCCAAAGGTACTTTACATAAACACGCTGAAGGACAGACCTGGGCTCACCTCGAGGGAGTTTCTCTTATCAGTGAGTCTACAGGAGGCTTTTAAGTGACTCATGTCTTAGGAAAAGGCTCTGAAAGTGGAAACCCCGGGATGCTCTTCCACCAAACCATCCCTCCTCCTGTGCTCAGTTTTCCTGTTCACAAAAGCAAAGTGATTAATACAAAGTGATTTTACAAGGCTCGGGGAACGATCTGTTATTTACTGAGATGGGGAAGTTTAACTTGGAGAACACTGTGAGCGCAAAGCTGCAAAGCTTTAAGACCATTTTTATCAAACTGAAAATAAATTGCAGCGATAAAGAAGTTTGCTTCAGGAAAACCCACCAAATTGAAGTTATTCCCAGGTTATTAGCTGGAGTAGAGATGTTGTTTTAGCATGGAGATGGGGGTGAACAAAAACCAAAACTCAACCACGGGTCCATATATCAGTAAGAACAAAGATATTTGCTGAGGAACCCAGTGTGGAATTTTAGAAAGAAACTTTGGAGGAAAACCATCCCAAAAATGTACTTCTAATTTTTTTTTTTCCTTCATCAAATATAAGGTTCTGATTTTTTTACCGACAACAATAACGTTCAAAAAGAACCGGATTAACTCGAAAGCCCCTTCACTTTCACTCCATTTCTTTTGCCCCTCCGCAGGGAAATCCTCAATGCACAGCTCCCAGATGTTAATGAACAACAGCCCTTTCTTGGTACCTTTTAGGGCCTGATTCACCGGGATCATCCATAAATATTCCTTTAAAAACCTTCCTGAGGAGCTCCCGGGGGCCGTGCGAGCAGCCGATGGCCGGAAATGTTGGTTATTCCTCCCTCTCCTCCTTGGAACACTGGTAGCCAGCCTGGAAAAGACCAGATGCATTAAATGGTGGGAGATTTACAGCCCCCCCCCCTCACCTGGGAGCCATAAACCGACAATTTGTTCCCTTTCAAAGGCAGCCCCTGCCCGGTGCGGGACCTTTCAGCACGGTTTAGAAAGCTGGGCTTAAAAAGCCCGGGATCTTTGAGGAGAACATGGACACAAAGTTCATTTTTCAAGCACTGCAAGGCCTCAAAGATGAAGACTGGGGAAGGAAGGCACGATGGGGCACTTGCAGAAGCCCCTCACTGCCCAAATCCTGCCCTGGGCTTGCTCCTGTCCCTCCCTGGCATGGAGATATCCCATACAGGGAATATTGAATGTGACAGGGCCGGGAGGGGTTGGGAGCCCCCCTGACACACAAGGTCTGCTCCCAGATGGGAACTTCAGGTGGCCACTGATGGACCTGTTCCTGACCTCCAGCGGGCACTGGGAGGATAAAACTCCACCATGGCCAAGAGCTGGTGTCACAACACTGCAGTGCCAGTGCAGCCTGTCAGAACCTGGCCTTGGCAGAGGGGTTTGTGCAAACACCTGAGGACCAAAATCACCATCTGCCTCTTGTTCTTGACCTCCTCCCCCATCACTTCCATATCCCAAAGTCAGGTAGCCAGGATGCAACACCTTTTCCACATCACCAGCCACGGGGCAAAAGGAGATTTTGGCATTTGGCTCAGGTGGTTTAGAATCATGGAATAGTTTGGGTTGGAAGGGACTTTAAAGTTCCAGCCCCTGCCATGGGCAGGGACACCTTCCACTAGCCCAGGTTGCTCCAAGCCCCGTCCAACCTGGCCTTGGACACTTGCAGGGATGGGGCAGCCACAGCTTCTCTGGGCAACCTGTGCCAGGGCCTCCCCACCCTCACAGGGAAGATTTTTTCCCATATGTCCAACCTAAATTTTCCCTCTTCCAGTGGGAACCCATTCCCCCTTGTCCTGTCACCACAGTTCCTGCTGAAGGGTCCCTCTCTGGCTTCCATGTGGGCCCCTTCAGATCCTGGAAGGTGCTGTGAGGTCTCCACACCACCTTCTCTTCTCCAGGCTGAACAGCCCCAACTCTCTCAGCTTGTCCCCATACAGGAGTTTCTTCACCTCCACAGAGCCCACAAGGGCTTCGTTTCAGCCTCAGACTCCAAGTGATCTCACACTGAAGCCCTGGATCACCCCACCCCCAGCACAGCCCCGTGACCTCCACAGTGTCTCCTTGGCTCCAGTGGCTGAGCTGGATCCTGCTCTGGCATCCCAGCCCTGGAAACCAAGCAGGGAGCGCAGCAACGTTCCCAAGTCACGGCTGAACGAGAGCAGAGTCCTGCATTTATTGCTTAAGTAGTTGGAAGTGATTGTAATGCAGCCAGATTTATTTCTTATATTCAGTGGTGGACTTATTAAACTTCCAGAGGAGCTCTTTAAGCTGTCAGTGGGGCTTTAATTGCTGACTAGAACTACCTGCTTCTAAAAGGCTGCCATGGAACAGCCCTCCTTCCACCCACCATCCTCTTCTGCTCAGCAGAAGATCCCCCAAAGCACAAAGGGTTAAAGCTTTGGGCTGCCCAGCCCAGCCCAGTATCCCCCCTCCTCCCCCAGTTTGGAAAAAGTAGAATGGAAAGGATTAGAGGGGAGAGATTTATGGGCCAGCCCATCACGGAGCCTCAGTCACACTTTGGTGGTGGGGGAACAGCCCCCTCCAACAGAGGGGCTGGAAAGCTCTGCCCACCAGTAAACTGCCTATTGGGGGGAGCCAAATCCCTCATTGGATTATTCCAGGCTCTGTGAGCCCTTGGAAAGAGAGGCTGCCCCTTTTTATTGCTGCATTATTGATAAAGAGCTGGGGAAATCCTCACAGCTGCTCCAGAAATCTTCCCAGGGCAGGAGGAGCCTGCACAGAGGTTTGGGCT